TGGTGCTTTTTATAAACCAGCTATATTCCTTGCGGGAAAACTATTTAGAAAAGTTAAACTTTTTGCTTTTTAACTTTTTAGAACTCATCATGATTTGAAACACCTTGAAACCTAGCAAGCTTGGCTTAGGCTTATGCTTAGCTTAGACTTAGGCTTTGTTTAGGCTTGACTTTGGCTTGGCTTAGGCTTTGCTTAGGTTTGGCTTAGGCTAGGCACCCTAGCTGGATCGTTCCTCCAATCAGTTCCAGCATTCCTCATTCCCGAGATCGGCAGCCAATCGTCTGTTCCGGAAGATCGCTTCCCGCTGTGTTTTTCCGGGTGAAGCCAAAAACCAGCCCAATTGCCGCTCGCGGAAATTTCCCTCATTCCCGAACGAGCCGTGGTCCCCCCACCCATCAAAACCCGGAATTTCGGGGGAACGGGGAGTTGCACTTAGAATCTCTTTTCTCCGCTTCTCCACCCCTTTAAAATCGCCATAAATTATGCAAGCGCCTGGCGGGGTTGATAAGCAGTCGCCCAGGGGGAGGAACGTGTAAAAATGAGGGATCTCGCTTTGATAACATTTCGATTAGCGCCGATAAACGTTGGCGGGGGCGGTGAGCAAAAAGGGCGAGAATTCCGAGGGAGGACTGGTTACGCGCGGAAAACACAGCGGGACGCATTCGGGAGCCATCCCCCAAAAACCGGTGATTAATCTGGATTAAACTGGATTCTGGCGTCTAGACGAGATTCGTTAAGGACAAGCGAACATGTCGCGCGAATTTGGGAATTTTATCCCGGGTTTTGGGGCGGGAAAGCCAGTTTTTGGATTTTAACTATCTTGCAAGACCTTATTGATTACCAAACAAATTATTTTGCAAAAAAACAAGCTACGGGCGCTTGTGCAATATTGGGGGTCATAGGGGGAAGTATAGTTTCTCCTATGCTCTAGGAAACCGGGAAAAGGCTTTCACAACAAAAATTCAGCTAGCGGTGCTTTGGCATTATCGGGGGGAGTGGTTATGGGAGGGGGGTACAATTTTTTTATTCTCTAGGAAACCAGGAAAAGCTTTTTACAACTAAAATTCAGTTAGCGGTGCTTTGGCGTTATCGGGGCAGGCATAAATTTGTATGCTCTAGTAATGCCTATTACCGTAATAGAAAACATTTGAAAAGCGTTTCTCATAAATGCTAGCTATTTTCAGGCACCAAGTACACTTAGAAATATTTAGAAATAGAAACTACTTTACACTTTTTTACATTTCAAATAGTAGCAAATAACGTAGACGTCTACATTTAAGCTCTACGAAAAAATACGAAATTCGGCAAAATCGCAAGCTCGACTCACTTCGCCAATTCTCATCAGCTTCCGCGTGGCTGGCGTAGAGTATCAACAGCAAAAACCAAGAGCGCATCATGTCGGTCGGTAAAATTGATGGCGTTTTCTCCTTTGAATTCACCCAGCCGATGATGGTGTTGTTTTATCTAAATTTAAACGTAATAGTTTAAATATGAATAAAATCCAGGAAAAGTCCAGTACCAGCCCAGTACCGAGTCTCCCTCCTAAACCTAAAAAGTGCCTCTCAAAGCAACTTACAATCCCCAAGCCCGCTAATGATCCGGTTGATTGATAGGAGATCTGATAAAAGGAGTAGAGCGGGTAGCGTGACTTTCACTTTTTCCGCTAACAAGTAAGGGCTGTTCTTGAGAACCTATCGAATAATCGGCCGGTTGTTGGTAGGGCTGAAGGGGACAGAAAGCCTGGGGGTCGCCAATCGGGATGAGGAGCACGAGCTCTTGCTAACTGTCTATCACAAGCCCCTTTTTCTCTGGCTCCTCCCCTGTTTCTCCGGGAGGGGGGATGGATAATTTTGACGCCACCCCCCACCGACGATCTCTCGCGCTCCAGGCCGGGCTCCCAAATTGGCCGATCCCCGGCGGAGATTCGGCTTACAGCTCAATCCAGTCTCTCGCTCTTGCCGAATGGGTTGACCAAGAAAAAAGTGAATTTTCGGAGGTCGAGAAAAAAATTCGGGGCGTGACGAACGGCGTTTGAAGACCGTTTTTTCGGTCTGAACGGTTTTTCTTAACGCGGCGTTTCCTAAAAAAAATCTTTGCTAGCTTGCCGCTTGTCGTGCCTAGAGGCGGGCGCCGGTCAGCTCGGAACTGGACTGTTACCAGGGGGATACCTGGCGTACAGTAAATTTTTAGCATTCTATAGTGTATTATCTATTCCATTACTCAAACAATCATACAAACAACCTTACAAAATGCTAAAATTTTGACGCTTTTTATAATTTTCGGTTCTTTCGCATTGTCGGGGGGCAACTTTTTTCCTTTAGTATCCATCTTCTAAATAACTTCTTCTCTCTTTCTTTCTGAAACGTTTTTCCCCTACTTCTAAACCTAAAAATGGAAAAATTTCGACCAAAACTGCGAGTGTTAAAATGTTGGAAGCTTTTTAGATTCTTTCCACTTTATTTTTAGGCTTTTATGGTTCTTTAGATACTTAAATTACCTTTTTAGGTAATTTCCACTGGAAATATAGCTAAATTTTACTAAAAGCACAATTGAAAGACTTACTTTCGCGGTATTGGGCATTTCCGGACTCAGTAAGAAATTTCGGAGAGTGTAATGGATGGCCACACCTCTCTCTCTAGCCCGCCCCCCCACCCGCTAATAGTGCAGTACCAAACAAGCCCAGGTGCAAATCCCTGAAACCTTGTTTTCCGAACGGCTCAATCGCCGCTGCTGTAAATGAGAAATTAGGGGATGCCTCGCAGGTCCCTCACCGAGCTGCGGCTTACAGGTCAATCTGTTCCACTGGACTTCCAGTCTCTTCAGGCGCGCGTAAATAGCTGAAAAAAGCAAACTGTCTGCGCGGAAAAACACGTCCGGTACGGTGCTGACCGTGGTATCAGTTGCAAGGCTGCATTCTAGTACAGCTGAACGTTCGGTCTGATGCGAAAAATTGGGTCAATGCTTCAGAAATGTGGTGGTGCGCAAGGCAATTTTTATTTCGTCGAAGCTACTTATGAAAATTTAGAATTATTGAAGGTTCTTCTGGTCTATTTAAGAACCCAAACATATTGGTATAATTGGTACTAGGCTGTTAGCGGGGCGGAAACAAATTTTTTCGGTAACCTACGGTTTTGTAACGGAATGTAACCCATTTTATAGATATGTTTACACCCTTTGTAGATGAAAAAGCACAGAAAAACCATAAAATCTTCGAAATTTTTGAATTTTTCGTAAAAATCTCTGAAAAATGACGAAAAAGTTTTCAAGTAATAAGAATAAGCTTAAAGAAAATCAAGTTTGAAAACTTCCAAAATACTGTGGTATAACTTTATAGCCATCAAAACTACTAAAAACGTTATAAAAACCCATTGTGTATGATCGGCAGGTAGGCGGGAAAATACCCCCCTCCCCCGGCTAACAGACGAGTGCTTACTTTAACCTTTAAACTACCAATCGATCTCGAAAATGCGCGAAAATTCAGCAAACAATATTTCTAAAGCTGTTGCCTAAATTTTACAAACCCATAGCACTAATCACTCCAAATTCCGTTCCGTTCCGTTTTGTGCGGCTGCCAACGGACGGCAGGGTTCAAAGCCCGGCAGCCACGGTCATCCACAGCGGGGGGCTGACGCCGGGGGTTTCATTAGCCATCTAGTGCCCCACTTTTCACTACCCCCATCCATCAGCCCCCCCTTCTCCCATACACACCCATTTCATTTTCTACAGTAAAAGAGCCCCGGCCAGCAGCGTCTCCCTCCCTCACCCGGCACCTCGGGTCACACCAATCCGCGTGGATGTTGCCAGGCTGCAGCCGGCTTCCAGATATATCTGCTATTCATGGCTTGGGAAAACGTCGTCAGGGGAGCGCCAGTTTTCCGCAAAAATACTTTTAATTTTCCGGCGAAAACACGATTACAAATTTTTGCTTTTCCCTCAAAATTGAAACGTGTCTCAAACCTTTAGTAGAAAGTCTAATTCATTGCGGCATTAACTACCCTAAAAGGGATCAGGTCAACAGTTCAATTCCGCCGGTACGCAGTTTCTGTGCTTTTTGCCTGGACAAGATCAAGGTTGTCTTAAGGCTCCGAATGAGGAATTATCGGCGAACCTCGCCTCTCAAATCTACGGCCAGCCGTCTCAATTCAAGTATACAATGGAAATAACATCAATTCAATTGCAACACATAATCCATGACTCAAAAGCACTTTATTGAAAAGGGGATGTGCATGTGCAGTGAGTGCCGAGTGGTCCGCTTTTCGTTATTTCGCTCGTAGATGAAGCAGGACCGCGGCGCCGCTCAGCACGGGCCCATGTAGCACGACACATCGGTGCGGGGCTTCGTCACGCCGGGGGTCGACGAGCCGCCGCCACCTCCGCCACCGCCTCCTCCGCTGCTGCCTCCGTAGCTGCCACCACCGAAAGCGTAGTCTTCGCTGAAAAGAGAAAATAGAATAAGTCTTCAAAATGCAAAGATAGAAGGTATGCAAATAGCTTACCGGGCATAGCTTCCGCCACCTCCGCCGCCGCCACCACCACCGCCGCTGTATCCGCCAGGGGTCATGTACGCCGACTTGTCGCCCATTGCTGCTGAGGTCTGATGACGATGTAGGGTATCGTGTCCCTCATCGCCGGGGCGCCTTATTTTATACCGGGAAACGTACCCAAATTACGGCATAGTTCCGGAATTCTCCCGAACGTATATGCTAATTTGCCGAGGTTTACACGAGTCGTTTCACGCTCCTTTTTTTCGTTCTCCGGCGTCCCATAGCTCATTCTATAGAGCGCGAAATTGTGAAACCATCCGATCGTTCAAAAATTACAAAACGAGTGCGGACGGAAAAAATTCTCTGAAAGTTCTATTTTCGGTCCGGATTTGAGCTGCGCTTATTTTTTCTTGAATACCGTTTGTTATTGTTAGGATTTACTGAATTTTCTTTATTGGCCAAAACAACGTAACAAAAAAAACTAACAACAACAACAATTGATTTCACAACGATCTATTCTTCTCCTTCCTCCTCCTCGCCGTAGGCCTCTTCCTCATCCTCGTAAGCTTCATACGCCTGTGGCTCATCGGAAATTTTCTTGGAACCTTCAGCTTTTTGGCATCTAAAAAGGTATCAATTTGCCGCTTGACAAAAGTCACCTTCCGGGAATATGGCAGCGCTCGCAGGTCTTGCAATGTCTGTAGGCCGCCTTGAAGCAGCGCATGCAGGGTCCGCAGTGGCGGTACTCCGATCCGTCCTAGATAAAGTTTTAGGTGTACAATGACAAACGATAAAGATAGACAAACGTACCTTGGAAGTACATTTCATGCACATAAAGCAGTGCTTATTATCGTTGTGCACCCAGTACTCGCAATAATCGCAGAATCTAAACGAATAAAATCATTGAAAAAAATTTATGTTTACTTGTATCCATCCAGATCTTTCAGGTCAATCTTCGTCGCCGGGATATTTGTAAAAATCCGAACGCTGCTCCTCTGCGGCTTCGCAAACGACTTGTGATTGGAATAGGTGACCTGATCAAAAACTTAACCGAAAATTTTTTTAAAGTACCTTGTAATCGTGCATATGGAGTTCCTTGTCCAGAAACAGGGCTCGCTTACCCACAAAAATTGGCATGATCAGAACCGTGTCAAAAGTTCTATCGGCTTTTCTGCAAATGACGATCATATTTAAAACTTCTTTAAACATACCCATGGGCTTCAAATGCCGTTTTTATCTTCTGGATGCTCGCCATCAACGGTTCGACAAATAGCCCGAAAGGTGGATCACAGACCACGACCAGCTTCTTGGCTTTGCCGAGGAAATCATTGAACTAAAACCATTTAACTGTTTTTATAGGGGAAATTGCACCTTGGATTCGCTTTTCGGGTCGAAGAAATGATGCGTCAGCATACTGTATTGGGCAAATTGGACGCTTTTGTAGAAAGATGCCTAAACTGTTTCCTTGAAAACAAGAAACTCATTAAAACTTACAAAACGTTTATCAATGTCGAGCATGAACAAGTTTGGTACACTTTTCTCGGCACGTAACGCTTCCATCAGCCTTGGGGCGCCTAAAACAAGTACATGATATACTACAAAATTTGAATAATTACCAATACACAGGACCGAATCTGCTCCATTCCCCGTCACCAATTGCTTCAGGATCGTCAGAGATTCATCAGAGAAGAAGAATTGCTAAAATGAACAAATTTTTCCAATTCTTTTGATTTTACCGCTTCTGCAAGAGGATCGACCAACGCGTCCAGAAACTTCGATGGATATTTCACCATCTTTCGCTCGAGAAATTGGCAGTCTGGGTGCGGATGGCGATTTTCAAAGATCTAAGCTTCCAATGACAAAAAAATATATTTAGAAACTTACGTTCATGCATTCACTGCACCAAATAATTTTCCCGTCCTTTGCAAATGATTTCAACCTAGAAGCAAAGTTTCGTCGAGAATTGAATCCCTTACGACTTGTTCACGCAGTTATAATTGTATTTGTTCTTAACGGCTTTTGGTGTGATGTCGCAGTCGGCGAAGGGCGGCAGTCGATTCCCGTCCCGGTCGACCCCAACCTTGAACGAGCATTTTTCCTTGTTTCTAAAATTCGTTCGGTCGCCAGGAGAAGTATCAAACCTATAGACTGCACACGTAAAGAATCTGCTCTCAATCTGACCATTCTTCTTCTGTCCAAAAAGCAACGTTGGGCCTAAAACCATAAAAAAAGCTATTCTTTTTACGTACCATGTTGACATCTGGGGACAGAAAATCCATCAGTGGGCAGTAATGTAAAATCTCCGCGTTTCCGTAGCTCCCTTGTTTTGGCCGGAGCTGGATACGTCTTTTTGAAAACCTAATAAACAATTCATATCAACAAAAAGCCATTCGCTACCTTCCCCTTGTTCGACGGGTGGCCAAAAAACTTTTTCTTTTGATTCTTCGACTTCTTGCCCTTCGTCATGCTCTATCTATAAATGCGAGCATCTTGTAATGATCATTTGCAGTCTATTCTCGTTTAGTAAAGACCGTTCGAACGTCTGCTGAACATCAACAACGCCAAATCGAATAAACTTTATTCAGGAGAACGTCTCAAGTCCAACCGGCTAGACAATGATTTGTAAACTAAGCAAGAAAAATGACTGATTGTACACAAGATGATCGCTACTACTAGAAACTATGACCAGGCACATAAAAGGAAGGCTACAAGTACAGACGGTGTAAGATTACTACAGAGAAAAGAGCATGGAGAATGCCTTCGTGAGCCCGACGTCGTTCGTGTTGAAGTGGAGGAGACCGGCGATTAGGAGAGCTGTGAGAAGGTAGGATGAGGCGCGGGCTAGCTTTGCCGGACCCTAGAGAAAGAGGTGAGCATGCTTCAAGTAAACTTACGGATCCCATGAGAATTGGGCGAGCATAATCAGCAATCACAGCTTGGACCCCCTAAAAATAAGATGAATTAGCAGATTTATAAATAGGTGAAAAAGTCAACTTTTACGAAGGAAAAGCTGCTTACCAGTGGATGTGCAGCGATAGGGCAATCGTCAAAACGGCGTCCATGACGGGCCCATGGACAAAGTAGGCGGCCGGCATGACGGGGAGAAGGGCGGCCGACCACAAGCGCTCGTACTGTAAAGGTTAATGTAAGACTATTCGAAAACGCAAAACAACCTTGAAATGGTGCGAAAAGTCGGGGGCCTTGTTCGCGCCGTCGTTCAGCGTCGTCGATGTTCTGACGGCGAGGGCTGCGCGTGGGACGGCGACTCGGGAGAGCAGCACTGCTCGCTGCAGCTGCGCCACACTTCGCAACGGCACCGAGAACGACATCTGAAATGGAGTGGGTTAATCGTAATAAATACATGAATAAAAAACCAAAAAAAAAATGGGAAAATACGAATAAATAGTTCCGAAAATGGGCAATTTACGGATTTTCGGAAGCTGGCAAGCGGCCAGAAAAAGTTTGTCGTCATTTGGAAAGTTTCGTTTTTTGAGCAACAATGCTAAATTACTTTTTCTACTTTTACTAGTGCTTCAAATATACTTTCTGTAACGAAAAAGCTGTTTTTGTGGACTTTTTGAAGCTTTGACAAACATCTAACAGAGCCGGGGAGCCCAACTTCCCTGGCAAGGCGCTACAGACTACGAGCAATACTATCCCCTAGCGCTCTTTCGAGTCCCCGTTGGTGACAGAAAAGCCTTTTACAGGCTCTATCCCCTCGATTTTTACTAATCTTTTGCAGTTTAAAACTTTACTTTTCTTTCTTTTCAGGCCCTCCATGAAGGAGCGACCAGAAGAACAGAAAGCCATCCCGCTAGAGGAAAAATGGCGTCTTGTACCCGCATTTTTAAAGGTATACTTTTGTATTTGACGTTTACCTCATGCGATAAATTCTAGGTTCGTGGCCTGGTGAAGCAGCATCTCGTCTCGTTCGACTACTTTGTCAACGAGGACATCAAAAATATCATCATGAGCAACCAGAAGATCACCAGTGATGCCAACCCAAACTTTTATTTGAAGTTTGTCTCCGGTCCTTGATTAACCACATATCTAGGTATCTGGATATTCGGGTAGGCCACCCATCCAGTGAAGAGGGTTTCAACCAGATCAACGACAAAATTACGCCTCAGGAATGCCGGTTACGGTGAGAGTGTAGAAAACAGTCTAAAAATTTAATTTTTTTTAGTGATATGACCTACGCGGCTCCAATCACCGTCGACGTCGAATATACTCGTGGAAACCAGCGAGTTATCAAACGGGACCTCTGCATTGGCCGGATGCCGATTATGCTGCGATCAAGCAAATGCATTCTGCGGGACTTGGTAGCGCTGCCGATACTATTTTTTTACTTTGTTTTTAGGAAGAAGAGGAATTGGCGCGCGTCAAGGAATGTCCCTACGATCCGGGAGGTTATTTTGTCGTCAAGGTAATATAATTTAAGGTTTCTCCATTAAATTAAACTAGGGATCCGAAAAGGTGGTGCTCATCCAGGAGCAGCTCAGCAAGAACCGCATCATGATCGGCTACAACTCGAGCAAAGAATTGCAATGCGAGGTGAGGAATTTTGTTTTTTTTCTCTAGAATATCTTTTCAGGTCCTTTCCTCCACGACCGAGAAAAAGTCGAAGACGTACGTGATTGCCAAGAAGGGTCGTTACTTGCTTCGGCACAACCAGCTCAGCGACGATATTCCGATCTCGATCATCTACAAGGTGATTTTGCCCTCGTGGTCTTTTAATATAATTTTTAGGCTATGGGCCTGGTCTCGGACTTTGACATGATGTCGGCGATCGGTCGCGAGGAGCGCTTTATCGACTCGTTTACGCGAACTATCGGTAAAATGAGCCTCCTTTTGCATCTTTTTCTGGTTTAGAAGACGCTCATAATCATGGAATCTACACGCAGCAACAAGGGCTCAATTATCTAGCTGCCAAGGTGGGATTCCGTTTTTTTTCAGCCAAAGACTTAAAAACCTCAGGTGAAAGTGCGCAAGCCGTTCGGCTCTTTCGGCACCTCGCACCAGACGATGATCGAAGTCTCGGTGAAAGACCACGAGGCGCTGGATTTCCTCTCTAGCGGCATGATTTGCCATGTGCCCGTCGAGAATGGCGACTTCAAGCTGAAGGCCATATATTTGGGGCTAATGTGTAGACGGTACACTTAATTGCCATAGTTTTTATATCCTTGCAGATTGATAATGGCCGAGCTGGGTGAGAGCGACGTTGACGATCGAGATTTTTACGGAAACAAGCGGCTTGAGCTTGCCGGTTCATTGCTTGCCTTGCTGTTTGAGGACGTTTTCAAGAGGTAATTTTTTCGAGGGAATTGTATTTCTTCGATTCCAGATTCAACATGGAACTCAAACGGATAGCAGACAATTTCCTCAACAAAACATTAGCCGCCCCGCTGGATATTGTCAAGCATATGCGACAGGTAAAGCTAGGCTTTTCGTGCTCCATATCCGCATCCAGGACATGATCACCAACACCTTGGTCAATTCGCTGTCCTCTGGAAACTGGATTATCAAGCGGTTCCGGATGGAGCGACATGGCGTGACGCAAGTTCTCTCCCGTCTCTCCTACATCTCTGCACTGGGCATGATGACCAGGATCAATTCGACTTTCGAGAAGACACGAAAGGTATTTTCAAACTCAACAGCCTTAAACGTTTTTTCTAAAGGTGGCTGGTCCTCGATCGCTTCAACCCTCGCAATGGGGCATGGTCTGCCCCTCAGATACGCCAGAAGGAGAAGCTTGCGGCCTGGTGAAAAATTTGGCCTTGATTTCGCACATCACCACCGATTGTGATGAAAAGGTATTTTGTTTTTGTTTTTTCTATGCTAGCTTTGTTTCAGCCGGTGCTACGTCTGCTCTACAACAGCGGTGTCGAAGACTTGAAGCGTGCCCATTTCAGTCACCTCCACGATCCGTGAGGATTAATAAAATTAGGGTAATAGGTAGAATTTAGGCGCTACCACCTTGTTTTCCTCAACGGACAGCTAACGGGCTCCACCGTTGACCCGAATCGCGTCGTCTCGGCCGTGAGGGCGTTACGAAGAAGCGGATTTTTCAGTGAATTTGTCTCCGTTTCGAGGTGGGTGATTGGAAAAATTTTTCGAGAAAGGTTTTAAGGTCTTTCACCCAACGAAGTGTCTTCATTTCGTCTGATGGAGGCCGGTTATGCAGACCCTACATTATCGTCGAGAACCAGAAGCCGCTTCTAAAGCAACAACACATTGAAGTAAAAACAGAAAGGGCTTTGGAGATAATTGATTTTTTAGGACATAAAGAGCGGCTTGCGCGTTTTCGAGGACTTTGTCGCGGAAGGGTTAATTGAGTAGGAGATTCCGAGTCGTTCTTAAAGTTTAAATCAGGTATCTTGATGTCAACGAGATGAACGACGCCATGATCGCCATGTATGAAAAGGACATCAACGAGAAATCCACTCATTTGGAGGTAGCGTTGGACTACTTATTTATTTCTTACTATTTTTTAGATTGAACCGTTCACAATTCTTGGTGTATGCGCCGGCTTGGTACCGTACCCCCATCACAACCAGTCGCCTAGGAACACTTACCAGTGCGCTATGGGTAAACAGGTACCAAATTTTGATGAAAAATTGATATTACTAATTTTTTTAGGCTATGGGCACAATCGCGTACAACCAGCAGCAGCGTATCGACAGTATGATGTATTTGCTCGTCTACCCGCAAAGGCCGCTCGTGAAGAGCAAGACGATCGAGCTCACCAACTTTGAAAAGCTGCCCGCCGGCCAGAATGGGATCATCGCCGTCATGTCGTACTCGGGCTACGATATTGAAGACGCCATCGTGCTCAACAAGGCTTCGCTTGATCGAGGTTTGACAAAAAAATCGTGGAATTTTTTGCTAAAATTGGTTTATCATTTTGCTAAAGCCATTTTCATATCTATCTGATTTAGGGTACGGCCGATGTCTTTTGTACAAGAATGCAAAGGGCCACGCCCGGAAATACCCGAATCAGACGAGCGATCGCCTGATGGGCCCCAGTGTTGATGCGACGACGAGGAAGCCCATTTACAAGCATAAGGTTTTCTTGTAACGTGGGCTTAAAAACTTTTTTAGGTCCTCGACCAAGAAGGCATCGTGTTCGCCGGCGCGCGAGTGGAGAACAAGCAGACGATGATCAACAAGCATATGCCGATCGTGAACCAGACCGGCGATTCGACAATGACTCCTGGTTATTTATTTTTTTAACCACTTCACTGTATTTTAGGAATGAGCAGCGTCACACCTGCCGGCCGAGATGTCGAGTACAAGGATGTCTCCATTTCTTACAAGGTACGAATTTTAGGTGAAACTATAAAATATCTTTTTAGAGCATCACCCCAGCATACGCAGAACGAGTCCTACTTACACACAATGATGATGAGGCGCATTTGATCAAGGTCCTGCTACGACAGACTCGTCGCCCCGAGCTCGGCGACAAGTTCTCGTCTCGACATGGGCAAAAGGGTGTCTGCGGGCTGATCGCGCAACAAGAAGATATGCCTTTCAATGACTTGGGAATGGTAAGAGTTTTGCGCTGGTTTCTCGGAAAATCGGGGGGATAAATTTTTCCTATAACTTCAGTGCATAGAGTTTTAGTGACCTTTGATAAAATTTAGCTAATTTCAAGTGGAAAGCTATTTAGCAAACTTAGGCTAATGTCTAAAAATTTAAAATTTTTTGATAAGAATTTGTGACCGTTTTGTGTTTAGGAAACACTTTTTGGAAAGAAACAACACTTATTGATTCCGTTTTAGTGCCCCGACATGATCATGAACCCGCACGGATACCCGTCTCGGATGACTGTCGGCAAGCTAATGGAGCTGCTCTCCGGAAAGAACGCGATCATGACCGGCCGCTTCCACTATGGCACCGCTTTTGGCGGCGATCAGGTACCATGCACCTAATTCTATTTTTTTTACTCGATTTTAGGTGAAAGACGTCTGCGAAGAGTTGTCGCGCTACGGCTACAACTTTATGGGAAAGGACATGCTGACCTCGGGCATCACCGGGCAGCAACTGTCCGCCTACATCTATTTTGGGCCGATCTACTATCAGAAGTTGAAGCACATGGTCATCGACAAGATTCACGCCAGGGCGCGCGGACCAAGGTATTTTCGGTTGGATTTTGAGGAGTCTTCTCTAGAGCCGCCTTGACACGTCAGCCAACGGAAGGTCGATCGCGGGAGGGTGGCCTGCGTCTGGGAGAAATGGAACGGTAAGTGCCCCAATTTATTAGATATCGGATTCCAATTTAGTGATTGTCTGATTGCCTACGGCGCGTCGATGATGCTGATGGAACGGT